CTTGGAACCCTCGCCCATTGCTCACCATAGTTGCTCCAGGCAATGCATCTGATTGGTCCTCAGTTAAGCCATACACAATACCACCCATATACATACCCATGTGCACATCTACAGTAAGGTATCACTAATTCAAAAGAGAAACTTATCAAAGGCTCGGAACCCTCGCCCAACCTTTGGTCGGCTCAGGTCCCTCTCCCATTGCTTGCTATACCTCGCCCCAGGTCATGCATCTGATTGGTCCTCAGTTATGCAGTACACAATGCCACCCATGCCTGTGCAATCCAACAAACCACTCCTCCTCTCAGCTTGGTAACACTCTCTCTACAGGAGCAATAATTTGATGTGTCCTAATGGGACACCCGTTGCTTTTTTCTATCATGGCCCCTGTAGATCATGATGATCGCTGGCAAGAAATGGCATTCTAATTCACTACTTATGCGGGTGTTGTTGTCAGTTCAACTCCCAATGGCACTGGAGGCATTTCATTTCATTCGTTTTAACGAGGGCTGGTAGCAGGCACACTAGTGTCCCTGCCCTCATCCCTGTTCCCTCCCTGCTCACATGTGTGGAGAGATGGTGCTGGGCTGGAGTTGGAGTTGATGCCATATGAGTAACCCAGCATCATGCCCGAGATTATGAGTTGAATATTTATTGAGAGTCATTCAGAGTCAGTAGGAACACATAGGAACATTGGAGAATCATATGGAATATTCTAGTTACACTAGACATGTATTATATAAGTAGCTCAGTTTTCATTGTATTGCTCAAGCGTTTGCAGAGCTCAGCCAACCGCTACAATTATCATTGGATTTTACACTAAACTTTGTCTGATTCTTTAAGAAACTACAACAGCTGTTATGACCCCGCAGCCTTTCTGCTCACCACTGCAGGCCGCACCATTTCTCGAAATCGTGGCTATGCTGTTTACAGATGTCATCCGCCAGCCGCTCCAAGTTGCTATTACATCACATTTTCTGGTCACATGTCAAAAAATCACATAATATTGACCATTACAGAGATTGTATTCCTCATAACGTGGCTAGGGAGGAACCTCAGCCTACTTGAGTGCAGGTTAGAAAGCAGGCACCAAGCGGAGGTCACGAGCAAAGACTGCACTAGGCCCGCGGCCCAGACCCCACAGCCCATCAATGGAACACAGCAATTTTCCGAATGGGGTATTTCCTAATGGGAAGTTGGTCTGCAAAACTTCTGAATTTTGGCGGTAGAAAATCCCATTGAACGATTCCAAAAATTGCATTCTGATTTCATGTTGCCAGAACTTCAGAAGAGGAGCCATCTCTCACCACACAATTCAAAACACAAGAGCATGCTGGGGCGCAGAATACTATCAGGTGTTCAAATCCTTGCTGATTGCCTGTCGGAGTTCAAAGGCTTCGGAAAACGATTTTATAAAGAGAACTCCAACCCATCTCCCAGCTTTTTTTTTTTCTACCAAAACTTCTCTCTCCACACATGTTTCCAACACTTTAGTTCCACAATCTATAATGAAAGAGAGAAAAAAAATCTGCTTCCATCTTTTACTATGCCCCCAGCAGGAGTCGAACCCACGACAGCTGTGTACCTTTTAATAGGGGACATCAGTCTGGCAGTTGATCACCTTGATCTACGGAGGCTGCACTCCCGTGCATGTAGTCAGTTTTATTATGTATATATAGCAACAAAACAGAACATCAAGCCTCCCACTCTCTTGAATATATATATATAGAAATTATGATGGCTAAAGGAAAAATGCGCCAAGCTCTATGGAGTTCACGTGATTTGCTGTAGATCTACCCAATGGCAATTGCACTGAAAAGAGTCAAATTACAAATACTCGACACGGTCGTCAAATCTGACATCTATCTTTTGTGATTGAACCTTTTCGGAAGTTTTCCGCACATTTATTTGCTCATTATTTATCACAGAGGGGTCCAGGTTTGTGGATCTTGACTCTGTGTGCAAGCGAAGCGAAACAAATTATTTAACTGTACCACACTCGTGATGCCATGGTATTTAAAGGGCATTACAGCTCAGCACCCGAGCCTTTCAAATGTTGCCACATTTGCCGATACAACTGACAAACAATTAGCAAGAGCGACATGAGGTGGACAATAATTTCTCACCACAGAGTGTGCCACATTGTATAGGTGTCTGGAGGGAGGGAGGCACTACCCGCTAACACAGCAGGCACCTGTGCTTCATCCCAGTATATTACTAGCAACCACATTGACTACACATCGTCCGACTGATGAACATTGAGATCAAGAACCACCCTTGACTGACACACAGTTAGCAAGAGCAACATGCCGTAGACACTGTAACTTCTGACCACAAGACCTCATTGGCACCACATCATAGGTTTCTGGACAGAGGTATGCACTACTTGCCAGCATAGCGGACACCAGCGGTTTGTCCTGGTACATTTGCGAAGGTATACAAGGGCTACTAGCAACCACATCAATTGTCAGTCGTCCAACCAATGAACAATGAGATCGAGCACCATGCTTCTTGAGAGCCCTCCAGCAGATCAATCTTATACTTGTTGTTGGAGTTAGCCTACTCAGATGGGAAAGAAATAATCGCAGCTCTCTGCATCGACTGCAACGCGCCCCTGCTTCATTCGCTTGACTTGGTCCGCTATCTGTCCTACATGCATCTCTTTTCCAGTTGCCTGCTTGATGAAATCAATGAGGAATATGTTGAGTTTATTCCCTGCAGCTTCCATTTGAATGTTGTGATAAGCCCGAATCCCTGTGAGGTAGACATTTGTTTAGAGCGAATGCAGTAATCACCAGAGCCAAAATCTTCATACCTGCAATGAGTGCAGATACCCTGGTGTTTCCCAAGTCAAATATTATACCCTGCGGTTCTGGACAAATGTAAAACAGTGGAGTCCACACACAATGTACAATTTTTTTTCCTTTCGAGGCACTTGCAGCCACGAACCCCAGGCACACACTGAATAACTATGTGAGTTAGGCTGCAAGACTTTCAAGCATAAACCATGACCTTGTCTGTCATAGTGAATTTTGACATTGATAAAGATCAACGTGGCAGATGAAAGGATGTCTTGTGTGACGGATTCACAACTCCACAAGTGACATGCTTCCAACTTCCCTTTCTGTATCGGACAGCAGAGGTGACATGCTTCCTGAGCAACGTGCCCAGGTACTGTGACACAAATTTTTCTGTCCATGGATTCCATGGTAATAGAACGGAACAAAGTTGAGGCCACCTTTGTCTTAATCACATCTCCAGACAACTCCACCGATAACCACTGACATTCAGACGTGGTCAAGTCTGTATGGCACCGGCAACTCCTGACAAATATTACCTAGGTCGGAGTTTAAAACAAAGTTGGCCTCAACTTTGCTCTGCACCACTTGCTGGCTCTTTGAGATCTCCAGATACTAACCCTATAAAGTCGTCACAGGAAAAATACTGCCGCTCGAAATATATGATGCACAGATATACATCTGACCAACTGGCACCACCTACAGCTTTGCGGTGCTGCACTTGATAACCTTCACCTGGACTGAAGCAGTCAACAAGTCTCCTATGGTCCTGCTGGTCAGCATCTGCACCGGCAATGAATACTACCAATACAACTGGCACAAGCTTGGATGCTCATCAGAAACACCTCTATAGTGAAACTCGGTGATGCAACCTCCCTGGCACAATCCCATGAAGAAAATAGCCCCAATCTACCTGGTCGTTGCACTCGTCATCGCTGTCAGTTATTGGATATCTCGACTCGAAATCATCAAATATGATTCTCACATTATCCTCCCATTTCTCTGCCTACTAGACTTGGTGGTTGTTGGTGTTGTTGATATTGGTATTACCGACTGCATTCTACAGTACTCAATAGTTGGAACCCCTGAGACGGTTTTGGTGTGAGTCAGGGGAACTACATTGACTGAGTGTCCTTCCCGTGGACCTCGAAGCTATGAGAAACCATCTGGAGCACCTTCTAGAGGGCGAAGAATGGAGCACTTAACTGCCGCTGTTGTTGGCGACGATTGGCATGGTCAGTCTGTGAGCAAGCCACTGAAAGGGTCATTACTTACCTGCTTATTGGTTTCTCAGTACCAAGTTGTTGAATGAGTCGACAGGTTGACAGCATTCAACCTCGTTCCACGCAACCTGAGGATAATTATGACAAGTGTACGTAGTTCGATGATAGATCATAAATGCATGTGTTCTTGGCAACAGGACGTACACATGCACTGTATTCGAAGATGGTCAATTGAAACAAGGAGAATCTTATCGATTCAGAATGCTAATGGTTAGCAACTGCATGAGAAACCACATCACGGTGCACTTCCGAAATCATACAACAATCAAAGTATCAAAATATTCATTCAAATTAGCCCTTTTTTACTCTCTTGTTTCACCCTTTTTTGCATTCTGCCAGGAAGCCCATGTGACCAGAGATTGAGCACCAGAAAAGGTTTCTCAAATGTACACTTGCAAAAAGACGAAGGAGCACAAAACGGAATGCAGACAGGGAGACAAAAAGGGCCAAAAAAAGGTGAACCATGAAAATGACTATTCCAATGGATGCGCTCAAGATCAATGGAAGAAATGGTCAAGATATAAAACAAAAATCCTTAATCCAAAACAATATCAGCCCAACCCCGGTTCAAACGGGGAACCTCCTAAAGTTGCTTAAAGAGTTAGTCACATTAAACTTTCCGGGCATCATACCACTTAGACTACAAGGCCTATTGGCACATCCAAAGTCATGAATAATGCATGGGATAATATTTTCCGTTGTCAAAAGATAAATCTAAGCAACCAATAGGAGGCAACTTCACACACTCCCAACCAACCCTGCGTGCACCCTCCTTGCCTTTCTTGAGAAGAAGCAAGCGAGAAAGGGAGAGGTGCAGCCAGCCGCGCTGCTGAGGGCAACAACCCACCCCTGGATAACATACAATTTAAAGTCTCATAGCCTACTCATGCCTTCATCACACTTGATGACTGGATCAAGATATGGTCTAGTGGTATAAGGGTAACATACCTTGGGATGTTAATGAAGGACTTCCCAAGTGGTTCCCGGTGCAACTCCGGGCTAGACTGTATAAATATATGCTTTTTATTTTGTGGCCACACTGGTTCAACTTGTTGGCCAAGATACATTACCATCACATCCTTAGGCATCGCTCAGTCATCTAAGAATGTTGAACAACACAAAAATACCGCAAAGACCTGCTTGTAAGTTTGATGCATCCCATATTAGAGGTGCATAGAGCGGTTTATATATGTACAAGGAGCTGCCGGGGTGCCATGTGCCCTTGCAACTCTGTTGAGTGTATTCGAACCACGTCGACATGGCCAATAAGTTGTCCACATTGTTCGTTGTTGACTGTCAAAGTTGTGTCGACTGCTAACAGAGTTTATAAGCCTCAAACAGACAGACACTATTTTACTGACCCTCTTTCCTCAACTGATCTGAGCCACTAAAGTATTATCAAATCAGAATACAAACCATTTTATACAAGGCTCGGAACCCTCGCCCGACCTTCAGTCGGCTCGGGTCCCTCGCCCAATTGGTGCTACACCTTGTCCCGGGCCATACATCCAATTGTGCCTTGATCATCTCATACAACTGGCATCAGTAAGTTTAGACTGGAGACAATCACTTTTCAAACCAGCGAAAAATTCACCTTTCTTTCAATCCAGTATCCATCTGTCCTTGCGGCACTAATTGAATTTTCAATGTTCACTGCTGACATGCAGCTTGTTCGCCTACAGTAAGATATCACTGATTCAAAATACAAACTCAGCCAAGGCTCGGGACCCTCGCCCACTCCTTGCTATACCTCACCCCACCATGCATCCAATGGTTCCTCAAATTATATCATACATAATACAACCCATGCCTGTGCAATCTAAAAAACCAGCCCCCCTGTCACCTCGGCGACCCTCTGTCTATAGCAGCAACAATTTGATGTGTCCCAATGGGACTGCATTTTTTTTCTATCATAGTCCCTGTAGATCATGGTGATCACCGGCGAGAAATGGCACTCTGATTCACAACTTACGCAGGTGTTGTTGCGGGTTCGACTCCCACCAGGGACATTTCATTTCATTCATTTTTACGAGGCGCACTGGCAACCCCGCCCTCATCCCTGCGCCCTCCCTGTTCACATCTGTGTCACTACCTTCTTGCTCAGCTGTTGTGACCCTGCTTGCTGCCGCACACGCCCCACGCCATTTCTCGAACTTGTGGCTACAGATGTTATCTGCCGGCCACTCGGAATCAATATCACATCACATTGGTCACACGTCAAAAAATCAATATCTACCAATGATATTGCGGCTGCGGGAGGGATGAGGCAGCACACTAGTACGCCAGTCACGAGCGAAGACTGCAATGGGCCAGACCCCACAGCCTATCAATAGAATACAGCAATGTTCCGAATGGGGTATTTCCTAATGGGAAGTTGGTCTGCAAAACTACTGAATTTTGGCGCTAGAAAAAAAATCCCATTGAACAATTCCAAAAATTCCATTTTAGGACTCGTAATGATGACTTTTTTGATCTATTTGTATTTTTGTCTTACTACAGAGATTTAGACGGAAAATACCACCACAGAGATTCCCCAACCCCGTAACGTGCGGTGGGTAGGAGCCTGGTTTTAACTCGGAGTCTGAGTCTGAGTCAGAATCCTTGGGCTCCGACTCTGACTCGGGATCACAGTCCACGACGAACTCCGAGTCCGAATATTGATCAGTGGTCGAATCAACATCCATAGGAGAAGGATCTTTGGACCCGCCACTAAAGAGGTCTAGCTTCTCTGGACATATCCTTCTTGCGCAACGAGACATGCAAGATCCACTGCAATATTGAAGGGTGGCGGCCCATCTCTTCAAGTGAATGGCCATGATAATGAGAGATGAATGATGGCGCGACAATTTTCTCAACCGTGATGACTGCATGCAGCACGCTTCATTCGTGATATGCTGATAGTCTAGTTGTTACTGCGGGGGTCTGATCGTGTACTGACATTATTATGCAATCACGGAGTTTGAAATGACATGTGATTAATTGATGATGCACTGCCTCCTTCTACAATGTGTTCTCTCTCTTCCCGCCCATTCCAAATGTATCACGTCACTGCCTAAAGGTCCAGCATGCATATTCATGCATATTCCTCACATTTACTAGACAACAAACAAGTCCCTCTGAACCTTCTGCACCGACACCATCAACTGATTTAGGTTGATTTAGTGGGCGTCCAATGATGGGCATCCTCCCAAACAAATTCAAAGCTCCTGGCCTGGAAAAGACTTTGGATCTATACCAATTCACATGGTTGGTGAATTCCTCACTTACCTTCCAGTCAAGACACAGTATAGTCAGTTATTATTTTAAATGCACCTAGAAAATGAGCACAATTGGAGGCAATAATCATCTCAGGAATTAATATACACATCATTATGAGGTATCGACATGCTAAATATCTCGATAGGAGTTCGTGGGGTAGAGATAATGGCTACCACTTGCGCAGCTCGAACTCACATCAGGTCAGTTCCCCAGGCGCACATTTCAAACTCTGTGATTGCATAATAACGTCGGTACGCGATCAGACCCGCGCGGTAAGGAACACACACCAGCCAAATTGAATAATCAGCTCAGCTGATTGTCACCCGAAAAGATCCTTTTCAGCTACTTATTCAGCTTGCGGCATTTTTGCCATTGGCTTGGCATTTTCCAAGCCAGTGGCAAAAATGCCTCCAGTTGAACATGTTGCCGAAAATGGTGTATTCAGGTAACGTTTAGGCAGCATAATCCCAGCTGAATATTCACTTTTGCAGGTGTGACAGACTTCATACAACGAGTTAGATTGTATGAAATGTCTGTCTACGAGAGACTAATATGTTGATGAGTTTCGGGTTAAGATCCGCATCCAAAAATGTTTGAAACAGGAATTTTTGTGGGCTGACCTGGGAAAACTCCGTGGGCTACATTCATCTTACCGTTGCGGAGGGTGATTTTTCACCAGGAAGGCCAGTTTGAGTCAGCCTAGCTCCAGCGGGCGGGCACTCAACAATTGCCTTGTAGATCTGAAGCGAAACCCATGCACTTTGAATCAAATATTGCCGCTGGTCGGCCGAGATATCCGGGCGACACCAATCGAAGCAATGAAGATCTTGATGGTCATCCAAATTTCGTCTCTCAGAACCGCCTCTGATATCTGCTGGAAGGAAACTGCGGGGTGGGGAATAAGGCCCTTGGATTTCGCTAGGGTACCAATATCGATCCAGCCTGTTGCCTGGGTGTTTATTCTTTGGTCTGGGGAGGACCACAGTTCCCATAAAAGAGATCAAGATCTCCCTGGATGTGATGACCAACTTCGAGCACACAGCTCTATATGTGCAGGCTTGTGGATATGGTAGATCTGTTTGAGATGAATATCAGCGGCAATCGCTGGAGGTGGGGGACATAATTATTTTTCACCTGTAACAAGTATACGGAATCTTGTTGCAAAATCATAGCAGCAGGAAAGTGGCCGCTTTGGCTGACTCGCCAATCCAACTCAATGGAAAATCCTACTGTCCTTGTTTTCTTTGTTGTCTCGTCTCCGACAATCGACATAATGGACAAGCACATTTCATCAATGAGCCGGATGGACGTGGTGAGGTGGATGTTGGGATTGTCCGGGATTTGGACAGGAGAAAAAGCAGTGGATGGGGAATGAGTGTTGGCAGGACCAACACGCAAAGTTGGAATTACCCATTCAGCAAACTGACAATCTGCGGCAACATTATCCCTCCACAAGAGCGAAATAGGCTCATGTGCATGCTCATGCAGGGACCGAACAATGTCTTGGAGTGGTTGTTTGATATGCTGAAGGTGATCTGTTGGCACGAAAATCATTTAGCGGATTTGCTCGAATTCATTGGTCATGGTCCACAGACTTCCTAAACCTTGCACGCCATCCAGTCGCACAATATATTTAATAGTCTTGTAACTTCGGTCCCATGCAATGAGGCGAGTGGAGAAAGCGGACATCACATGATCTTGTCCTGGTTTGACGTGCCTCATATAGTCAATGTAAAGCTGGTTCAAATACCACTGGAAAGGTGAGAAGCCTGCAAAGCCTGTTGGAGAAGGTTGAGAATACATCCATCCAGAGTCTGTGGTAAATCTGTCGGTGGGCAGTAAGGGTGGAACATTATGATTAAATACGGCTCCAGAGCATAATGTACTGTAATCTTAATATAATGTTAGCATCAGGACCCATATTTACTCGTAAGAGTATTGTAATGTATTGTAATTGGATCATAATTTTATTTAATCATATTTAATGGATGCTAATCCCCTCCAAATAGTCAAGCCCATTGCCGAACTGGCGTTGAGGACTTCCTTCTTCACCACAGTGGCAGCGGTGGTGGTAGCAGCCAGGGAAGACCAAACACCTGACATGGTGTGCTTGCTGCTCGAAAAGAGCCATTTGATTGCAATACTTACTCCTTCAATAGCCAGGATGTCATGGGTGATGTGAGAGAGGGTCAGAAAGTGGATGGCACACAGCAACAGGCAAGGATGACAGATAGATGGTAATCTCGGCGGAGTGTGAAAAGTATGGGCATTCTCGGAGCACCAGAGCAATGTTTAGTAGCCTGCCTTTGACAAAAAGGAGCCTTCAGCGGCCCAAGAACACCAAGGATACTGGCAAAATAGTGGCAAAAGAGTACCCCTCAAAAGATTCGGACATCCACTATGGGGTGATGCAAAGACAGAGACCCGAGAAGCAGTTTACACCTGAGCCAGAACAACATTTTGAGTAGGCAAAGCTCGATGAGGGGTGTACCCGCACTACTTAATATTATGATCAAATACAGCACCAGCATCGTAATATAATCTTGCTCTAATGTAATCTAATGGTCTATAATTTTAGCACCTGACATTATGCTGAGACTGTATTTAATGGTAATTCTAACATTAAATCCGAGTATACTCGAATGTACTCGTATTTTTAGCCAGCTTTAGTGGGCAGGCTTTCAATGTGTGCACATAGGATGCTCAGCGAGATCGCGATTCCGAACAGGCAATTCCCTCAGAATCTTCT